CCTGTAATCCCAGCACTGTGGGAGGCCAAGGAGGGCGGATCATGAGGTCAGGAGATCGAGAACATCCTGGCTAACAAGGTGAAACCCCGTCTCGGCTAAAAATACAAAAAATTAGCTGGGTGCGGTGGCTCACGCCTGTAATCCCAGCACTTTGGGAGGCCAAGGCGGGTGGATCATGAGGTCAGGAGTTCAAGACCAGCCTGGCCAAGATGGTGAAACCCCGTCTCTACTAAAAATACAAAAAATTAGCCAGGCGCGGTGGCAGGCACCTATAATTCCAGCTACTCGGGAGGCTGAGGCAGGAGAATCACTTGAACTTGGAGGGCAGAGGTTGCTGTGAGCCAAGATCACGCCACTGCACTCCAGCCTGGGCTAAAGAGTGAGACACCGTCTCAAAAAAAAAAAAAAAAAAATTAGCCGGGCGTGGTGGCAGACGCCTGTAGTCCCAGCTACTCAGGAGGCTGAGGCAGGAGAATGGCATGAACCTGGGGGGCAGAGGTTGCAGTGAGCTGAGATTGCACCACTGCATTCCAGCCTGGGGGACAGAGCAAGACTCCATCTCAAATAAACAAAAAATAAAAATTCTTTGGGTGGCCAGGCGCAGTGGCTCACGGCTCTAATCCCAGCACTTTGGGAGGCTGTGGCGGGCAGATCACTTAAGGTCAGGAGTTTGAAACCAGCCTGGCCAACATGGTGAAACCCCATCTCTACTAAATATACAAAAATCATCTGGGGGTGGTGGCGGGCGCGCCTGTAATCCCAGCTACTCGGGAGGCTGACACAGAATTGCTTGAACCCAGGAGGCAGAGGTCGCAGTGAGCAGAGACTGCGCTACTGCACTCTAGCCTAGGTGACAAAGCAAGACTCTGTCTTAAAAAAACAAAAACCACCTGGGCCTCCCAAAGTGCTGGGATTACAGGTGGGAGCCAGGGCCCCCAGTCCCTAGGCTAATACTTCAAAAATCCATTTTTTCATTTTCTTCAGAGGACTAAAGGGGAACGTGCCAGGAGGACTCTAAGGGGGAACATGCCACGAAGAGAGGAAGGAATTGGGGTTCTTATCTCTCCTCATGCCTTTATCTCCCCGAGTCGTCTGCCTCTTATCTCTCCTCCTTCCTTTCTAGGTTCTGTCTCTTGACCTCCTTTACCTCTCTCACCCATTTTCAGTCTGGTTTTCATAAAACAGAAAACAGTTTGTGACCTGCATCAGCGTGGGTGGCCGGGGCTGTGGACCCCTTGGCTGTTTGAGCCTTGGGGTTTTTTTTTTTTTTTCTTTGAGACGGAGTCTCACTCTGTCACCCAGGCTGGAGTGCAGTGGTACGATCTCGGCTCACTGCCAACTTCGCCTCCTGGGTTCATGCCATTCTCCTGCCTCAGCCTCCCAAGTAGCTGGGACTACAGGCACCCACCACCGCGCCCGGCTAAATTTTTTATTTTTAGTAGAGACAGGGTTTCACCGTGGTCTCGGTCTCCTGACCTCGTAATCCGACCGCCTTGGCCTCCCAAAGTGCTGAGATTACAGGCATGAGCTACCGCACCTGGCCTTGGTTTGGTTTTTGAGACGGAGCTTCACTCTGTCGCCCAGGCTGGAGTGCAGCGGCGCAATCTCGGCTTACTGCAACCTCAGCCCTCCTGGGTTCAAGTGATTCTCCTGCCTCAGCCTCCCGAGTAACTGGGATTATAGGCACAGCCACCAGGCCCAGCTAATTTTGTATTTTTAGTAGAGATAGGTTTTCACCATGTTGGGCAGGCTGGTCTCAAACTCCTGGTCTCAAGTGATCTGCCCACCTCGGCCTCCTAAAATGTTGGGATTACAGGCTTGAGCCACCGCACCTGGCCTAATTTTTAAAATTTTTTTGTAGAGATAGGGTCTCGGCACATTGCCCAGGCTGGTCTTGGACTCCTGGGATCAAGCAATCCTCTCAACTCGGCCTACCAAAGTTCTGGGATTACAGGCATGAGCCACTGTGCCAGGCCAGTTATGTAATTATTGTACCTGTTCTAGATCAGGGGAGACCCAGGCTCCAAGAGGTTAAAAGACTTGTCCCAGGCTGGGTGCAGTGGCTCAGGCTAATCCCAGCACTTTGGGAGGCCGAGGCGGGAGGATCACCTGAGGTCAGGAGTTTGAGACCAGCCTGGCCAACATGGTGAAACCCTGTCTCTATCAAAAATACAAAAATTAGCCGGGTGTGGTGGCGGGCGCCTATAATCCTAGCTACTCGGGAGGCTGAGGAAGGAGAATCTCTTGAACCCAGGAAGCAGAGGTTGCAGTGAGCTGAGATCACGCCACTGCACTCCAGCCTAGGAGATAGAGTGAGACTCTGTCTCAAAACAAAACAAAACAAAACAAAACAAAACAAAAAACACAAGACTTGAGAATCAGTGGAACCAAGTATGGATCCAACGATTCCCGTTCCAGACTGCAAGGACCTTTTGTTTTGTTTTGTTTTGTTTTGTTTTGGAGTTGGGGTCTTGCTGTTGCCCAGGTTGGAGTGCAGTGGTACAATCATACCTCACTCAGACTGCAAGGTCTAAAGATACTGCTGTAGGCCGGGCACGGTGGCTCATGACTGTAATCCCAACACTTGGGAGGCCAAGGCGCGTGGGTCACTTGAGGTCAGGAGATCGAGACCAGCCTGGCCAATATGGTGAAACCCCCATCTCTACTAAAAATACAAAAATTAGCCAGGCGTGGTGGTGGGTGCCCGTAGTTCCAGCTGCTGGGGAGGCTGAGGTGGGAGAATCGCTTGAACTCGGGAGGCGGAGGCTGCAGTGAGCTGAGATCGCATCATAGCACTCCAACCTGGGTGACAGAGGGAGACTCCATCTCAAAAAGAAAAAGAGAAAGAGAGAGAGAGAAAGGGAGAGAGAGAAAGAAAAGAAAGAAAGAGAGAGAACAAAAAGAAAAGAAAACTGCTGGAGACCTGCCCGATGCAGAGGCTTATGTCTGTAATCCCAGAGCTTCTGGAGCCCAGCGTGGGAGGCTTGCTTGAGACCAGGAGTTTGAGGTCAGCCTAAGCATCATAGTGAGACTCCGTCTCTCCAAAATTAAAAATACAAAAATTAGCCACATGTGGTGATGCATGCCTGTAGTCCCAGCTACCCAGGAGGCTGAAACAGGAGGAGGATTACTTGAGCCCTGAAGATCGAGGCTGCAGTGAGCCATGACTGCACCAATGCACTGCAGCCTGGACCACAGAGCAAGACCGTTTCTTTTTTTTTCTTTCTTTTTTTTTTTTTTTTTTCTGAGACGGCGTTTCGCTCTTGTTATCCAGGTTGGAGTGCAATGGCATGGTCTTGGCTCACTGCAACATCCGCCTCCCGGGTCAAGCGATTCTCCTGCCTCAGCCTCCAAAGTAGCTGGGATTTCAGGCACCTGCTAGCACGCCCGGCTAATTTTTGTATTTTTATTTTTATTTTATTTATTTATGTTTTTGAGAAGGAGTCTTGCTCAGTCGCCCAGGCTGGAGTGTGGTGGCTCCATCTCGGCTCACTGCAAACTCCGCTTCCCAGGTTCACGCCATTCTCCTGCCTCAGCCTCCCAAGTAGCTGGGACTACAGGTGCCCGCCACTACACCCGGCTAATTTTTTTTTGTATTTTTAGTAGAGATGGGGTTTCACCGTGTTAACCAGGATGGTCTCAGTCTCCTGACTTGTGATCCGCCCGTCTCGGCCTCCCAAAGTGCTGGGATTTTTACAGGCATGAGTCACCGCGCCCGGCAATTTTTGTATTTTTGATACAGACGTGTTTCACCATTTTGGCCAGTCTGGTCTCAAACTCCCGACCTCAGGTGATCTGCCCGCCTCGGCCTCCCAAAGTGCTGGGATTACAGGTGTGAGTCACCGCGCCCGTCTCAAGACCCAGTTTCTTTTTTAATTTTTAATTTTTTTTATTTTGAGACGGAGTCTCACTGTGTCGCCCAGGCTGGAGTACAGTGGCCCGAACTCAGCTCACTGCAAACTCCGCCTCCCGGGTTCCCGCCATTCTCCTGCCTCAGCCTCCCGAGTAACTGGGACTACAAGCGCCTGCCACCACGCCCGGCTAATTGTTTGTATTTTTAGTACAGATGGGGTTTCACCATGTTAGCCAGGATGGTCTCGATCTCCTGACCTCGTGATCCGCCCATCTCGGCCTCCCAAAGTGCTGGGATTACAGGCGTGAGCCACCGCGCCCGGCCTCAAAACCCTGTTTCTAAAATAAATAAAAAGAGGAAAGAAGAGAAAATGCCGCTGGAAGGAGTAGGGCCTGAGGTAGTGGGAACCGCCCGCACTCCTTGGAGGAACTTGAAACCCTCAGTCCGGTGACCCGTTCGAGGGAGGACGTTGGTTGGAGGGGGAGGGTCGCGCGCACAGGCCTCGGAGTCACGGGCGCCTGACTCACTGCGCGCCCCGGGCAACTCCGTTCCTCGCCTGTAAAATGGGAGTAAAATTTGCTCCACCACGTGGGGCTTTTGGCAGGCAACGCTCGTTAAAGGCCAGCTGGTACCATTATGTTGATTACCCCTATTATTACCGTTAGTAACCAATTAGTGTTGTTGCGTCCTCTCCCGATCCAGTCTCTCTAGGTCGGGAAGTCAGCGGACCCCGAGGCCAGCTCGGGCTCAGACCTCCCCGCGACCCCAAACCCAGAGCCCATCCCACCCGCTCCACCCCAGCCCGCTGGGCCGTCCAGCTCCGGGTGGACTGGGGTGGCGCGGGCCTGGAGGCGGGGTCTGGGTGGGAGCCGGCGGTGCCCCCTGGTACATTTCCCTCCCCAGTCTATGGGGGTGCCGGCCACTGACGCGGAGCGCTCGGGGGTCGCCCTCATACCCGGCGGGCGCTAGGACCGCACGGGCGCCCGGCGTAGAGGCGGAACCAGCCCTGCGGCCACGCCCCTCTCCGCTCTCTTTGGCGATTGGCTGCGGTTCCCCGGGACGCGGCTCCGATTGGCTCAGGCACCGGAACCGCCCCGCCCCTCCCCGCCCGGCGCAGTCTCCAGGCTCTGGGGCCCGGCAGCCGCAGAGTCGAGCCTGGGGCGGGCGCCGCAGACGCTGGTGCGGGTGCGGAGTGCCCGGTGCGTGTTGGGCGTCCCCGGCGCCTCTCCCGACGGCACCCCCGAAGGCCTGGCCCCGGTACCCTCCGCGGAGCCCGGGGGTGGGGGGCGCGTGCCCGGCGCCGCAATGGGCCCGGGACCCCCAGCGGCCGGAGCGGCGCCGTCCCGGCGGCCGCTGTCCCTGGTGGCGCGGCTGAGCTACGCCGTGGGCCACTTCCTCAACGACCTGTGCGCGTCCATGTGGTTCACCTACCTGCTGCTCTACCTGCACTCGGTGCGCGCCTACAGCTCCCGCGGCGCGGGGCTGCTGCTTCTGCTGGGCCAGGTGGCCGACGGGCTGTGCACACCCCTCGTGGGCTACGAGGCCGACCGCGCCGCCGGCTGCTGCCCCCGCTACGGCCCGCGCAAGGCCTGGCACCTGGTCGGTAAGCGTCCCGGCCCCGCCACCTGTCAGGCAGTCCCTCCGAGACTCCGCGACCCGGCAGCCTCCTCCCTCTGACCCGCCACCCCGTCTGCCTGCCCGGGATCGGAGTCTCCCCTCGGTCTGTCTGTCCGGTGGCCCGAGCCCCCCTGCACTGTCTGTCCACGGCCTTAACCTCCCTATTTCTCTGCCCTATGGGCTGAGTCTTCACCCCTCTGTCTGTCCCATGGCCAGAACCTTCCCTACCTGTCTGTCTGTGCCCATGGCCTGAGCCTCCTCCATCAGTCCCACCACCCTGTCCCCTCTGTCTGCCTGCCTGGGGCCTAAGTCTTCCCTGTGTGTCTGCCCCATGAGCTGAGTCTTCACTCCTCTGTCTGTTCTGTGGCCTGAGCCTCCCGCCTCTGTCTGACTACCCAGTGGTCCCTCTGTGGTGTCACTCCTGAACCTCCCCTGCCTATCCCACCATCCAGCCTCCCCCGTCTTTCTGCCCATGGCCTGAGCCGCCCCCATCTCTCTGTGCAGGGCCTCCCCCATCTGTCCAACCGTGCAGGGCCTCTCTATCTGCCTGAGCCGTGAGCCTCCCCTGTGTGTCTGCCTCAGAGCTGCCGTCTGACCTGCAGGGCCTTCACCATCTGACTACATGACTTCCTAGTGTCAATGCCTTTGACCCCTCGGGCCGCCCTGAACCCTTTGGAGGGTTGGTGGTGCCTCCTCTCAGTCTGTCTAGCCTGAGCTCATCTATTAGGGTGACCAACCGGGACAGCTATGGCTGAGGGACAGTCAGGCTGCCTAGAGCCTCCTGTCTCTATCTGTCCTGCCAGGGCAACCTGGTGCGTGGGCGGTTGGAGGGTGCTGCCCCGGAGTTGAGAGTTGGGAGCCGCCTGGGTGGGACTGGAGGGTCAGGGGTCTCTGCCCTCTTCTTGCATTGCCTCTGTCTGTCTGGCCAGGGTCAGGGATGCCCCTAGGTCTGGGGGAGGTGCCCTGATTAGAGAGGGCTGTTGGGAGGGCAGGAGGCCGGCGTCATGGGCTGGGTCACCCTGCCCCGGTGCCCATCGATAAGACTGCAGGACTGCCTCCCAGCGGCCCTCCTCTCCCCGCCCGGACCCTGGGCCTGAAGATTAGCCGGCCTCCTTCCCTGCTTTGCTTGCCCTCACAGAAGTGCCGGCTGCGTCCTGGCATTTGGGACACACAGGGCATTTCAGGAGGCAGGGCCAGGAATCTTGCTCAGTTCTTGGAATTCCAGGCTGCAGGAGGGGCAGGCCGGTGCCTCCTCACCCTTGGGAACAATGACTGAGGTGGGTGGTTGGCCCCAGGCTCTGGGTGTTGACATTTTTTGCAAGAGGCAGTGGATCTCCAGTGGTCTGAGGGCGCAGGCCCGGCAGGAGGCACAACGTGAGGACTGGATTTTCATGTTTCCTATGTCTGGGCTATTCCTGGGTCACCTGAGGTGGCAGCAGACAGGGAGGGGACCGGCTGGGAGGGGACCTGAGTGGAGCCCAGGGCTCCAAATTCCTCTTTGATCATAATAGTTGGATAAGCTCTTTGACAGATGCACAAGATAATTTCTGGGCAGGGCGGGCACGGTGGCTCACTCCTGTCACCCCAGCACTTTGGGAGGCCTCCTCACCTGAGGTCAGGAGTTTGAGACCAACCTGGCCAACATGGCAAAACCCTGTCTCTACCAAAATACAAAAATTAGCTGAGTGTGGTGGCACGTGCCTATAATCCCAGCTACTTAGGAGGCTCAGGCGGGAGAATCATTTGAACCTGGGAGGCAGAGGCTGTAGTCAGCGGAGATCACGCCACTGCACTCCAGACACAGCGAGAGTCTGTCTAAAACAAAACAAACAACAACAACAAACCCAAACAAGAAAACAAACAGAAAAAGTAACTGAAGGCTTTATGTTTTTCCAAAGCAGGCTTTTGGGAACGGGTGTTCCAATTGGACACCAAGGCCTCCAACATCACCCCTCTTCCCCGCCTTGGGGAGGGGGCACCTGCCCCGGGAGCTGAGAGTCGGGGGCTGCCTGGGTGGGCCTGGAGGGTCTGTTGGGAGCAGAAGCCCAGGCAGCCGCTCTTGATGCCTGAGCAGGTGACTTGAGTGAAGGTCACTGTGGCAATGGCACCCACTTCTGTATTTCACCCCCAAGTCTGGGGCTGGTGGCTAAGGACTCGCTTTGCCCCTTAACAAGTCCTGGGGGGCTCCCCCCCAATCCTGAGAGGACCCTCAGACTCAGACACAAACACTCCTGTGGGTGGGCAGGTGGCACAAATGGGCTTCAGAAGGAAGGACATTAGCTTTGAGGTATTGAAGGATGGGTAGGAGTGTGTGGAGAGGCGCATTCCAAGTAGCAGAAGCAGCTGTAGAAAAGGTAGGACCAGTCCTCACTTTGAAGCTGCGGAAGCAGGAAGTGGTTCAGAGTAGATGGAGCTTTTGCTGGTGCCACACGTGAACTCTATCCCCACAGCAGCCTGTGGGGCAGGAACTTTCTTTTTGTTTTTTATTATTGTTGAGACAGAGTCTCACTCCGTTGCTCAGGCTGGAGTGCAGTAGCGGGATCTCGGCTCACTGCAACCTCCGCCTCCCGGATTCAAATGATTCTCGTGCCTCAGCCTCCCAAGTAGCTGGGATTATACGCACGTGCCACCAAAGCCGCCTAATTTTTTTATTTTTAGTAGAGACAAGGTTTCACCATATTGTGCAGGCTGGGCTTGAACTCCTAACCTCAAGTGATCTGCCTGTCTCAGCCTCCCAGAGTGCTGGGATTACAGGTGTGAGCCACCACGTCCCCATGGGCAGGAACTTTCACTACCCTTCTTTGTCTTTTTTTTTTTTTTTTTTTTTTGAGACGGAGTCTCGCTCTGTCGCCCAGGCTGGAGTGCAGTGGCCGGATCTCAGCTCACTGCAAGCTCCGCCTCCCGGGTTCGGGCCATTCTCCTGCCTCAGCCTCCTGAGTAGCTGGGACTACAGGCGCCCGCCACCTCGCCCGGCTAGTTTTTTGTATTTTTTAGTAGAGACGGGGTTTCACCGTGTTAGCCAGGATGGTCTCGATCTCCTGACCTAGTGATCCGCCCGTCTCGGCCTCCCAAAGTGCTGGGATTACAGGCTTGAGCCACCGCGCCCAGCCAATCTTTTTTTTTTTTTTTGAGATGGAGTCTTGATTTGTCTCCCAGGCTGGAAGGCAGTGGCGTGATCTCGGCTCACTGCAACCTCTGCCTCCGGGTTTAAGCGATTCTCCTGCCTCAGCCTCCCGAGTAGCTGGGACTACAGGCGTGTGCCACCACGCCCGGCTAATTTTTGTATTTTTAGTAGAGGCAGGGTTTCACCAATTTGGTCAGGCTGGTCTCGAATTCCTGACCTCAGGTGATCTATCCACCGCGGCCTCCCGAAAGTGCTGGGATTTATAGGCGTGAGCCACCGCACCCAGCCTCTTCTTTTCCTTTCTTTCTCTTTTTGTTTCATTTCTTTTCATTGTTTTTTTCTTTCTTTTTTTTTCTTGACAAGGTCTCGCTCTGTCGCCCAGACTGGAGTGCAGTGGCACGATCATGACTCGCTGTAGCCTCGACCTCCTGGGTTCAAGCGATCCTCCCACCTCAGCCTCACAAAGTGCTGGGATTACAGGGATGGGCCACCACTCCTGGCCACGATCCCTGCTTTCTGAAAACTAAGGCCTAGAGAGGCACAGTCACTTGCCCAAGCTCCCCCTGCCAGGCAGCCTGGCCCCAGCAATGGTTAACCCAGACTGGCCAGCAGGAACAGGGAGTCCGGCCAGGAAGAGACCTTCTCACCGGAGTCCACAGTTTGTGCTCTGCCCCCGGATGACCCCGCCAGGACCCCGGGAATCCGCGCAAACCCTCCCAGACCCTAGTTCCAGGGAAGCCAGCAGCAGAGGCTGCCTTTGGTTTCACTTCCCCATTCCAGTTCTCTGGGGGCTGGCCCAGCGTCTGGGGATGACATCATCTCTGGAGCCTGGAGGGAGGAAGGAGGTCCCGCCGCCAGGCTTGGTGGTACAGGGGCCCTTCCAGGTGCCCCAGGCTGGGAGGAGAGGAGTACAGGGCTGCGGGGAAGGAGCCTGGCTCCGGCTCACTCTAGGGGCCTCAGTTTTCCCATCTGGAAAATGAGGATCATGACACCCACGTCTCTAGGCTGTGTCAGAGCCACTATTGTTTTTCACTGCTCAGAAGATAGTGAAGGAACAGCCTGTACGGTGCCTCACGCCTGTCATCCCAGCACTTTGGGAGGCTGAGGCAGGTGGATCACTTGAGGCCAGGAGTTCGAGTTCAGCCTGGCCAATGTGGTGAAACTCCATCCCTACCAACATTAGCTGGATATGGTGGCGGGCGCCTGTAATCCCAGCTACATGGGAGGCTGAGGTGGGAGAATGACTTGAACCCGGGAGGCGGAGGCTGCTGCAATGAGCTGAGATCTGTACTCCAGCCTGGGCCACAGAGTGAGACTCTGTCTCAGTTAAAAAAAAAAAAAAAAAAAAAAAGGCCGGGTGCAGTGGCTCACTCCTATAATCCCAGCACTTTGGGAGGCCATGGTGGTGGATCACCTGAGGTCAGGCGTTGGAGACCAGCCTGGCCAATGTGGTGAAACCCTGTCTCTACTAAAAATAAAAAAATTAGCCGGGCGTGGTGGCAGGTGCCTGTAGTCCCAGCTACTCGGGAGGCTGAGGCATGAGAATCACTTGAACCCAGAGGCAAAGGTTACAGTGAGCCAAGATCTCGCCGGTGCACTCCAGCCTGGGCGACAGAGCAAGACTGTCTCTCTAAAAAAATGGAGATATTGAAGTGCCCGAGTTCCATGCTGGGTCTCCCCAGGCCCCTCAGAAGCTGCTGTCTGCAGAGGAAAGCCGGCAGGAAGCTGGCAGACAGACAGAGAATTCCCTGGTGCGCTGAAGGGTGAAGTAGGAGCTGCAAGGGCCAGGAGAGAGGTGTTTGAGGAGGTGACACTCCCGTTGAACCCAGAGGTGAAAATAAGCCGGTCTTGCTAAGATGTGAGAGAAAGCTCCAGGCAGAGGCACGTCCATGCAAAGGCCCTGGGGCAGGACCGCCTGGGGTGTTGGAGGAACAGTGAGGAGACGTGCATGGCTGGAGCAGAGAGAGAAGAGGGAGAGGGCAGGGCAGGACAGGGCACAGAGGGAACGGGGCAGGTCGCAAAGGGCCCCGTGGGCGGCAGGGAGGATCTTACATTTGTTCCAAGGTATCTTAGGGGTTTTTTCTGAGGATGTGAAGAACCAGGGCTTGGCACAGCAGATCTCGGGTTGGGGGCAAGTGCTATTTCCAGAATGTCCCTGGAGGCCTGGACGCCACAGTGTTATAGGGAGTGGTCACCTTAGGAGCTGACAGGGACAGCGGAGCTCAAGGAGGGCAGGGTCCAGCCCAGCCCCGCCCAGCCCTACCTGGGCCTCCCGCTTCCCGAGGCCCCATGGGAGGCTTGTCAGTGGCTGAGGGGGAGGAGCCGCGGGAGGCTGTGGCTGTAACCGGGGCACCTGTTGGGGGCAGGTTTCCGGGGGACCCCCTGCACCCGGGTTCTTCTGACTTACAGGCTGAGCCCAGGTACCTGGTATCAAATTCCCCTTTTGTCACCAGGGCCATAAGCCTGGGGGACCCCGGCTGCAGACCCTCCCTCCTGCGTGACTGTGTGCATGGGGGGGTGTCTCCGTCTGCGCCTCGGTTTCCCTCTCTCCTCTCTCCGTGTCCCCACCCTGGGAGCCCTGGCTGGTGCGGGACGGCCCCATGACTGACCACCCCACCCGTCCACAGGCACCGTCTGCGTCCTGCTGTCCTTCCCCTTCATCTTCAGCCCCTGCCTGGGCTGCGGGGCGGCCACGCCCGAGTGGGCTGCCCTCCTCTACTATGGCCCGTTCATCGTGATCTTCCAGTTCGGCTGGGCCTCCACACAGATCTCCCACCTCAGCCTCATCCCGGAGCTCGTCACCAACGACCATGAGAAGGTGGAGCTCACAGCACTCAGGTGGGAGCCTGGGCACCCTCCCCCGTGGGCAGGGTGGGCCCTGGCTTGGCGTATCAGTCAGTGGGGCCACGTAACGAGTGGCCAGAGACTCGGCTGCTCGAGACCAGGCAGTCTTTTATGTTTATTTTTTATTTTTATTTTTTTTATTTTTGAGACGGAGTCTCACTCTGTTGCCCAGGCTGGAGTGCAGTGGCCGGATCTCAGCTCACTGCAAGCTCCGCCTCCCAGGTTTACGCCATTCTCCTGCCTCAGCCTCCCGAGTAGCTGGGACTACAGGCGCCCGCCACCTCACCCGGCTAATTTTTTGTATTTTTTAGTAGAGACAGGGTTTCACTGGGTTAGCCAGGATGGTCTCAATCTCCTGACCTTGTGATCCGCCTGTCTCGGCCTCCCAAAGTGCTGGGATTACAGGCTTGAGCCACCGCGCCCGGCCTTATGTTTATTTTTTGGAGAGGGGGGTCTCACTCTGTTGCCCAGGCTGGAGTGCAGTGGTGTGATCTCGACTCACTGCAGCCTCAACCTCCTGGGCTCAAGTGATCCTCCTGCCTCAGCCTCCTGAGTAGCTGGGACTACAGGAGTGTGCCACCACATCCAGCTGTTTTTTAAAGGTTTTGTAGAGATGGGGTCTCACTATATTGCCCAGGCTGGTCTTGAACTCTTGGGCTCAAGCGATCCTCCTGCCTTGGCCTCCCAAAGTGCTGGGATTATAGGTGTAAGCCACCACACTCGGCCATCACACATTTCTCCTGTCACAGTTTTTGGGGGTCAGGAGTCTCCATGGCTGAGCTGGGGGGAGAGGGGTGTTGTGCTTCAGGGTCTGTCTTGAGCCTGCATTCAAGGGGTTGTCCAGGGTTAGGGTTTTAGGGAAGGCTGGGGGCGGTCCCTCCTCTGTGCTCACGTGGTTGGTGGCGGAATTTGCCGTCTTGCACCTGTGCAGATCATGGTGGCCGGCTGCTGCTTCTGAGGCCAGCAGGGGGAATCTCTGATCCCAAGAAGTCCTAAGTCCTCTCTCCCAAAGGATGGCCTGATTTGGCCAGGCCCACCCACAGTAGTCTCCCTCGAGAGAATCTCGCTCTGTCAGCCAGGCTGGAGTGCAGTGGTACGATCTCAGCTAATTTTTTTTTTGTGTGTGTGTATTTTTAATAGACACAGAGTTTCCCCGTGTACCATGTTGGCCAGGCTGGTCTCAAACTCCTGACCTCAGGTGATCTGCCTGCCTTGGCCTCCCAGAGTGCTGGGATTACAGGTGTGAGTCACTGTGCCTGGCCTGTTTTTTTTTTTTTTTTTTTTTTGAGACAAGAGTCTCACTTTGTCACCCAGGCTGGAGTGCAGTGGTGCCATCTCGGCTCACTGCAAGCTCCGCCTCCCGAGTTCAAGCGATTCTCCTGCCTCAGCCTCCCAAATAGCTGGGACTACAGGTGCCCGCCACCACACCTGGCTAATTTTTGTATTTTTAGTAGAGATGGGATTTTACCGTGTTGGCCAGGCTGGTCTCGAACTCCTGACCTCAGTGATCTGCCCTCCTCGGCCTCCCAAAGTGCTAGGATGACAGGCATGAGCCACCGCGTTTGACCAGTAATCTCCCTGTGGATATGTCCGAGCTGACCAAGGTCTTTGGTTAGAACATGTCCGCAAAGTCCCTTTCCCTCTGCCATAGAACGCCACTTAGCCCCGGCTACATCCTGGTAGTAATGTCCATGGCGGGCTTACAGGTCCTGCTGCCACAGGGAGGGGATGGGACGGGCAGGCCTCTCTGGGGCTGCCTTAGAATTCTTTCTGTTGGCCAGGCGCGGTGGCTCACGCCTGTAATCCCAGCACTTTGGGAGGCCAAGGCGGGTGGATCACGAGGTCAGGAGATCAAGACCATCCTGGCTAACCCGGTGAAACCCCGTCTCTACTAAAAATACAAAACATTAGCCGGGCAAGGTGGCGGGCACCTGTAGTCCCAGCTACTCGGGAGGCTGAGGCAAGAGAATGGCCTGAACCTGGGAGTTGGAGCTTGCAGTGAGCCGAGATTGCGCCACTGCACTCCAGCCTGGGCGACAGAGCGAGACTCCGTCAAAAAAAAAAAAAAAAAGAATTCTTTCTGTTACACCTGGGTGCGGCAGGTGCCCGGCTTATCCACTCACTTGCTAGAGGCACAGGAAGAGCTTCTTCTGGTTATGAGGATGATGTATTGCGCACCTGATGTGTGCCTGGCATAGTTCTAGGCCCTTAACATGAATCTCAACTTCCTTAACCCTCCCTGTGAGGTGGGAGGTGGGAACCGTTCTCCCCCACGTACTCCAGAGGAGGGCTCGCCCCCAGCTAGTGCCCAAAGCCAGGGTCCACACAGCGCCTCTGTGTCGGGGGAGCTCCTGTCTCCACATCTGACCGTGCATCACCAGCTCCGCCTACTCTGGCCTCCTCCCCACCCCCGGATCTGAGTTCCCCATTATGGCCATGAGACAGGTGCAGGCGCTAACGACACGGGTTGCCCAATGCCCAGGGCCCCTGAGGGCCCCAGCTGACCGGGACCAGACCCCAGGCACTTCCTACGTGCCATCGCTTTGCCAGCTGACCTCCTGCTGTGCTCACGTGGCCTCTGGAGGTGGCATGGTTCCCGCTTTCATTTTTTTTTTTTTTTTTTTTTTTTTTTGAGACGGAGTCTCGCTCTGCTGCCCAGGCTGGAGTGCAGTGGCCAGATCTCAGCTCACTGCAAGCTCCGCCTCCCGGGTTCACGCCATTCTCCTGCCTCAGCCTCCCGAGTAGTTGGGACTACAGGCGCCCACCACCTCGCCCGGCTAGTTTTTTGTATTTTTAGTAGAGACGGGGTTTCACCGGGTTAGCCAGGATGGTCTCGATCTCCTGACTTCGTGATCCGCCCGTCTCGGCCTCCCAAAGTGCTGGGATTACAGGCTTGAGCCACCGCGCCCAGCCGGTTCCCGCTTTCAGAAAGAAACTGATTCGTGGTGGGATTCTGAGGCCCCCCTGGGGGGCTCCATGCCTGGCTGGGCTGCGGGCAGGGGCCGGCCTGGATGCTTCTAGACGAGGGAGCCCTCGCCCTGTAGCCGTCCAGCATCTGGGGAAGAATTCTCAAATTCCGGCTTCTGAGTCTCTGGGTTCTCAGACTTTTGGGTTGTAGCGTGGACTCCGCTTGGCTGAGTCACTGCACCCTGGTCCTAGGCACGAAGCAGGGAGTTGCGGGTCACAGCTGTCCTGCGTTAGATAATGTGTGGGCTGGGGAAATGGAGGCCAGCATGGGCTTCCTGGAGGCCACAGTGTGACGGTGGCTAGAATCACCCACCAGTCAGGGGTTCCCCAGGCTGCTTTGACGGTGCGGCCACGCGGGGAAGAAGTGGCCCGGGGTCCTGGCGTCTCGTTGAGTCCCTGCCTGCCTGTCTGCCAGGTACGCGTTCACCGTGGTGGCCAACATCACCGTCTACGGCGCCGCCTGGCTCCTGCTGCACCTGCAGGGCTCGTCACGGGTGGAGCCCACCCAGGACATCGACATCGGCGACCAGCTGGGGGGCCAGGACGTGCCTATGTTCCGGGTGAGCTGGAGCCCGGGTGGGTCGCCTGAAGTCCTCAAGCCAGGGATAGGGGCTGGGCCAGCCGCCACTGACCGCTTCCGCCGGGTCCCCAGAACCTGTCCCTGCTGGTGGTGGGTGTCGGCGCCGTGTTCTCACTGCTGTTCCACCTGGGCACCCGGGAGAGGCGCCGGCCGCACGTGGAGGAGCCGGGCGAGCACACCCCCCTGTTGGCCCCCACCGTCGCCCAGCCCCTGCTGCTCTGGAAGCACTGGCTCCGGGAGCCAGCTTTCTACCAGGTGCGTGCTGGGGGCGGCGGGGCTGGCATGGACCTCCTCTCCCACCCACCGGGCCTTTGTTCTGCGGGGCAAGCTGCGTCCAGACACAGAGCACACGTGGCCGCTGGTGCATCCCACACCCGGGGCAGACATCACTCATCAAGAGCCGCTCTCCTCTCCCCTGCCCACCCCACTGGGCAGTCACGACCAATGGATCAAATGCCAGCTGCAGGGCGCGCCCACCCCGGCCCCGGTGCCCCCTGCTGGTGGGAGTGGAGAAGGCCCTCCTGATCCCTGCCAGTCCCTCTGTCCGCCCACAGGTGGGCGTGCTGTACATGACCACCAGGCTCATTGTGAACCTGTCCCAGACCTACATGGCCATGTACCTCACCTACTCCCTCCACCTGCCCAAGGTGAGCGGGTTGGGGTGGGGACGCTGGGATGGGACGGCCCCAGCCTGGTGAGCCATGACTGATACGCCGTGCCTGGCTCTGCCCCCGCAGAAGTTCATCGCGACCATTCCCCTGGTGATGTACCTCAGCGGCTTCTTCTCCTCCTTCCTCATGAAGCCCATCAACAAGAGAATTGGGCGGAACGTGAGTGCACGGGGACTGGGGCGGAGGACGGGGTGCCCTGCAGCCGAGATCCCACCCATTCCGGGTTCCAGCCTTGGATGCTTCCAGGCCTCCGAGTTCCTGCCTTGTAGAAACCCTGGATCTAGGCCGGGCGCAGTGGCTCACGCTTGTGATCCCAACACTTTGGGAGACCAAGGCGGGCGGATCATGAGGTCAGGAGATCCTGGCCAACACGGTGAAACTCTGTCTCTACCAAAAATACAAAAAATTAGCCAGGCGTGGTGGCGGGCACCTGTAGTCCCAGCTACTCGGGAGGCTGAGGCAGGAGAATGGCGTGAACCCGGGAGGTGGAGGTTGCAGTGAGTTGAGATCACGCCACTGCACTCCAGCCTGGGCGACAGAGCCAGACTCCATCAAAAAAAAAAAAAAAAAAAAAGCAGCCCCAGATCTGGGAACGAGGAATTCTGGGACCCTGGCTTCTGCATGTCTCAAGTTCATACTCTCGCGGCTGCAGAGGTCTGGTGCTTTTGTCCACCCTGTGCAGCCACTGAAGGCGTGAAATGTGGCCGCAGGGACTGAGCCGAGTCCGTCGTTTGCTTTCGTTGTAACTGACCTGCCTTTAGGCAGAGTAGCCACGTGTCTGCAGCCGCTGCGGCGTGGACAGAAAGCACAGCTGCGGCATGGAGGGTCTGCCGAGCCTCGGACTTGTCCAGGGCCAGAGCCTGGGCTCCTGAGGGACCATCCAGCTCATGCCCCTTGTTTGCTGGGGTTGGAGGTAGGGGTGGCAGATTGAAGACCAGAGAGGGCCAGCACCAGGCTTGGGGGCACCCAGTGGTATGGGCCTGACCCCGGGGCTGTCCCTACAGATGACCTACTTCTTGGGCCTCCTGGTGATCCTGGCCTTTGCTGCCTGGGTGGCGCTGGCGGAGGGGCTGGGCGTGGCCGTATACGCAGCGGCTGTGCTGCTGGGTGCTGGCTGTGCCACCATCCTCGTCACCTCGCTGGCCATGACGGCTGACCTCATCGGTCCCCACACGGTAGGGCTGGTAGCCGGGCTGGGGCTGGGGAGGCCGGGGCCTAGATCTCGGGATGCATGCTGACCACCTTGCCTGTGTCTCCACAGAACAGCGGAGCGTTCGTGTACGGCTCCATGAGCTTCTCGGATAAGGTGGCCAACGGGCTGGCAGTCATGGCCATCCAGAGCCTGCACCCTTGCCCGTGAGTGCCGCTGTTCATTCATTCATTCTTTCCTTCATCTATTCGTTTGTTCAGTAAGAGGGTATTGAGCGCCTGCTGTGTGCCCAGCAGTGTTCTGGGTCTGGGCATCCAGCTGTGGACCAAAGACACCTGCCCCAATGAGAGTCACAGACCAGGGCGACCTCTCATTTCTTCCACTGAGCACTTCATTTATTCATTCAACAAACGCTGGGTCTGTGTGTGCAGTGCTGAAAACACTGTACAGAAATCTATCGGGGGTGGACCCAGCTGGAAGGGAGCCCCGAGTTTGTGTAAACCAGACCCATAGAACTCAGGGTTCAGACACGGATGGTTCTAGACCACGGCATCACAGCATTCATGCCTGTAGAGGCTCAGGGCCTGGAAACCAAAGCTGGTCTGGGCCTGGGGCAGAGCCAGCCCTGTGAATAGTCACAGAGGTGAATGTGTGGTCGGGATGGGTGTGGGTGGTGTGTAAAGGTGAACGCTCAGAGAAGCCTGGCCAGCCAGGGCAGGAAGCCAGGGAGGGCTTCTTGGAGGAGGTGACATGGACCTGACACCTGCAGGATGTCAGAGCGTTCCAGGCCAAAGCCCGGGGCAGGACCACAGCTGGCGTGTTGGAGGAACAGGGAGGAGGCCCGTGTGGCTGGAGCAGAGGGAGGAGGGGAGGGCAAGGAGGGGATGGGGCAGGTCGTGCAGGGCCTGGTGGGCCATGGGGAGGACTTGGGCTTTGACCCCGAGGACAGTGGGAGCCATGGAGATCTGTGGGCAGAGGAGGGACAGGCCCTGACCCAGGCGCGCAAAGACGCCCTCTGGTGGTCGCTGCCGGGAGGACAGCTGGTGGGGGACAGGGTGGAGCCTGGGACCAGGGAGGAGGGGACTGGGCGGGTGCAGGTGGGCTGTGCTGGAGCTGGACGTGGGGAGACAGGGACGGGGAGACGTAGTGGATTCGGGATGGACGCTGGAGGCAGGGCCGACAGGACTGGCCCAACTGTTGGGTGTGGGACAGGAGGGAGGGAGTTGCAGGGACCCCAGCTCCTGGCTTGGACAGGACGGAGCCGCCCTCGGGTGGGAGGGGAGGAACAGGTTTAGCTGGGGTGCGGGGTCCCCGCGGTGCCTACTTAGCCCCCACCTCCTCCCACAGCTCGGAGCTCTGCTGCAGGGCCTGCGTGAGCTTCTACCACTGGGCGATGGTGGCCGTGACGGGCGGCGTGGGTGTGGCCGCTGCCCTGTGTCTCTGCAGCCTCCTGCTATGGCCCATCCGCCTGCGACGCTGTGAGTCCTGGCGCACCCCTCCCTCCCCAGAGACTGACCACACCGGGGTGGGGGTGGGTGTGGGCCGCACCCCAACCTCCCTAATGCCATTTCCACCCCTCCCTTGCAGGGGACCCTGACGCCCGGCCCTGATTCCTGATGGTCTCCTGCACCTGTCAAGGGAACCGCGAGGATGTCCCCCGGGGCCTCGAGGAGAAGCTCCCACTGCCCCTCGCTCTCCTCTGGACCCCCACCCTCCATCCTCGCCCCACTCCCGGGGATGGGGTCGGGTGAGGGCAGCAGGGAGGCCTGCCAGGGCCTTGTGAATGCAGGGGCTTGCAGGGACCCCTGGGCTTTGAGGGTGCCCCATTCTCAACTCCAGCCCAGCCCTCTGGAGGATTTGGGGTGCCCCTCTCGGCAGGAAGTAGGAATCCCAGAAGGATCTGGGGGAACCCTCATCCTGAGTTCGGTCCAGTTCACCCCTCACCTCTGGCCTGGGGGGGCTCCAGATGCTGCCAGGGCCCCCTCAGGACGGCTGGGACCTAGAGGAGACCCCGTCATGGGGTGGTGGGCAGCAGGACTGCCCAGTAGGCTTGGTGGACTCTGCTGGCAGCGAATAAAGAGATAACGGCGGCCTGGCTCCTGTCTGCCTGGGGGTCCCTGGGCAGGGGTAGCCTGGGCATCACAGCCCTGCCCTAGTTGTGGGCAGCCGGTGAGCCCAGCATCTCCCTCTGCCCCAAGCCTCTGGTCCCCGGGACGAGGTTAGTGCCCCCTCATCTGGGTGCAGAAAGACAGTGGGTGCGTCGTGGCATGCGTTTATCGTGGCATGGGCGTGGAGGAAGGCAGGGGCCGCTGGCAGGTGGAGGGGCAGTACGGCTCCAGACCCCACTCCCGGTAGTTCTGGGTGGTGCCAGGCGGGCGCTGGGGTGCCGACAGGGAGGGCACGTAGTCTGATGCCCTCCATAGCGGCTCCACCCCGTACCGGTTCCTGTTGATGACTGTAGATGGTACCCGGGTCACTCTGTGCCCCCACCTCCTCGCCATTGGCCAGCAAGGGGCTCCCAGACCTCCCTGGCGGTTTTACGCTGGCCTAGGTGGCCTCGTCCCCCAGGCTTCCCGGGGAACCGCCCCGCACTTGGCCTCACCATATTCCTTGCCCCGGATTGGCCTGTCTTTCCACAGCGTGCTCCCCCACCGGGTGCTGGGGACCTGGTACTGGGCAGGGATGATGGGGTCGTGCCAGGCGGTCTCCCGAAGGTGCTGGGTGTACGCTGCGGTGGGGTGGGGGCTGGCGGTCATTCCTGTCCCCCTCCAGCAGGCCCGGTGCCCAGGGCGGGGAGGGCAGGCACTCACCCGATGGCATGGTGTGCTCACGGCGTTGGTAGCAGCCGTGCCAGCGGTTGTAGGCCTCGCGGAAGGGGCTGGCCGGGTCCAACGGCAGGTTGTACCAGGCTTCCCGGGTGTCCGAGTTGGTCAGGCCTGTGTACCACAGCTGGCCAGCTGCGTCGCGTCCCATGGGTGTGTACTTCCAGCGTGTGGCCTGCCTGATGGCCAGTGGCCAGCGGGGACCCTCCAGGGACAGGTAGTCATCACTGAGAGTGAGCAGGGGGCAGAGACTGAGCTCGTCTCTACAGCGAGTGCTCTGACCCCTTTGCGATGTCTGCCAGGGTGGAGGATGTAGAGGCCTGGCCCACGGCGTGGGGCCTTCCTCCCTCGCCACTTGGTGTCTGTCCTTCAGCCCTGGATCCCTCACCCCAGGGAGTGGGTGGCAGAGGAGAGAGGCTGACTCCCCCTCTCCCCACACGTCCCACCCCAAGCACCCAAGTCAGCACTAAACCTTTCTGTTCTGAGCTTTTCTTGCCTGGGGAAGAGGGAGGGGAAGAGGGAGGGGAAGAGGACGAGGGCCCTGGCTACTCCTGGGTTCCTATAGTCCTTGTCCAGCCTGCAAGACCTACAAGTCCCTTCCTTTGGGAAGCCCCCCGGCCCAGAGGTGCACCAGGAAGAAGTGGTCTGGGGCTGGCACTGAGCCATGGCCCAGGGAGGACTGGGGGACGCACTAGGCCAGGTGTGTGGCTCACACCTGTAAACCCAGCACTTTGGGAGGCTGAGGCAGGTGGATCACTTGAGGTCAAGAGTTCAAGACCAGCCTGGCCAGCATGGTGAAACCCCATCTCCACTAAAAATACGAAAATTAGCCAGGCGTGGTTGGGGGTGCCTGTAATCCCAGCTACTTGGGAGACTGAGGCAGGAGAATCACTTGAATCTGGGAAGTGGAGGTTGCAGTGAGCCGAGATCATGCCACTGCACTCCAGCCTGGCGACAGAGTGAGACTGTCTCAAAAACAAAAGGAGAAAAGACTCAAAAGATGTTTTATGCTTTGGCCTTGCTCTTGGGAATATGTCCCAAGGAACCCCAGAGAACAAGGTTGTTGGCCCCAAGATAGCCTGGCAGGGCTCAAAACAATCTCACCTGTGCCCTGCACTGAAAGCCTGGTTCCAGGTCTCATGGCAGGAACTCGGCTTAAATCCTGACTAGACTCCCAGGTGCCCACAGAACATGGGAGTAGCCTGGCCAGTTACGGAGCCTGTTTGAAGGACACCACGTAGACTCGGCTTTTCCACTAGAAAGGCAATTTCAAGATCTGGGGAACCTCGCCCTTTTGAAATGAATTGCAAAACACGTGTAGCTTTTAAAACGCAATTAAAACAGCACAAAATTGAGCGGGCGCAGTGGCTCACGCCTGTAATCCCAGCACTTTGGGAGGCTGAAGCGGGTGGATCACATGAGCCCAGGAGTTCGAGACCAGCCTGGCCAACATGGTGAAACCCCGTCTCTACTAAAAATACAAAAATTAGCCGGGCGTGGTGATGGACACCTGTGGTCCCAGCTACTCGGGAAGCTGAGGCAGGAGAATCTCTTGAACCTGGGAGGCGGAGGTTGCAGTGAGCCGAGATTGTGCCACTCCAGCCTGGGTGAGAGAGAGAGACTCCATCTCAAAACAGACAGACAAAAAGTAATTAAAACAGCACAGAATAACATTTGATGAGAAATGGGCCCCCTCACCACTGCTGTCGGCCCCGTACCCACCTGCCACTCACTACTTTCTGGTGTTTCCTTCCAGGACCAGGTGGTACGTACACCCACCTCCATTATTACCCACTTCCGGGAGCCTGTCCACCGCATCTCCATTTTTTTTTTTTTTTTTAATAGAAATAGGGTCTCGCACCCGACGCAGTGGCTCACGCCTATAATCCCAGCACTGTGGGAGGCCGAGGCAGGTGGATCACGAGGTCAGGAGTTTGAGACCAGCCTGGCCAACATGGTGAAACCCTGTCTCTACTAAAAATACAAAAATTAGCCAGGCGTGGTGGCTCATGCCTGTAATCCCAGCTACTTGGAAGGCTGAGGCAGGAGAATCGCTTGAACCCAGGAGGCAGAGGTTGCAGTGAGCCGAGATCATGCCACTGCACTCCAGCCTGGGCAACCGAGTGAGACACTTTTTTTTTTTTTTTTTGAGACAGAGTCTTGCTCTGTGGCCTAGGCTGGAGTGCAGTGGCACGATTTCGGCTCACTGCAGCCTTGACCTCCTGGGCGCAAGCGATCCTCCCACCTCAGCCTCCCAAGTAGCTAGCATTACAGGCACGTGCCACCATGCTTGGTTGATTTTTTTTTTTTCCAGACGGAATCTTTCCCTGTCACCCAGGCTGGAGTGCAGTGGTGCGATCTTGGCTCACTACAACCTCCGCCTCCTGGGTTCGAGTGATTCTCCTGCCTTGGCCTCCTGAGTAGCTGGGATTGCAGGCACCTGCCACCACACCCAGACTTTTTTTGTATTTTTAGTAGAGACGGGGTTTCCCCATCTTGGCCAGGCTGATCTTAAACTCCTGACGTCGTGATCCACCAACCTCGGCCTCCCAAAGTGCAAGGATTACAGCCATGAGCCAGTGCACCCAGCCTTTTTTTTTTTTTTTTTTTTTTTTTGGAGACAGAGTTTCGCTCTTGTTGTCCAGGCTGGAGTGCAATGGCGCCATCTCGGCTCACTGCAACCTCTGCCACCCAGGTTCACGCGATTCTCCTGTCTCAGCCTCCTGAGTAGCTGGGATTACTGGCATGAGCCACCATGCCCAGCTAATTTTGTATTTTTAGTAGAGATGGGGTTTCACCATGTTGGTCAGGCTGGTCTTGAACTCCTGACCTCAGGTGATCCGCCTGCCTCGGCCTCCGAAAGTACTGGAATTACAGGCGTGACTCACTGCACCCGGCAGCCTGGCTGATCTTTTAATTTTTTTATAGAGATGGGGGTCTCACAGCTGGGTGCAGTGACTCACGCCTGTAATCCCAGCACTTTGGGAGGCCAAGGTGAGCAGATCATGAGGTCAGAAGATCGAGACCATCCTGGCCAACATGGTGAAACCCCGTCTTTACTAAAAATACAAAAATTCGCTAGGCATGGTGGCATATGCCTATAATCCCAGCTACTTGGGAGGCTGAGGCAGGAGAAAGGCTTGAAGCAGGGAGTCAGAGGCTGCAGTGAGCCAAGAGTGCACCACTGGACTCCAGCCTGGCAACAAGAACGAGAGTCTGTACAAAAAAAAAAAATACAAAACTGAGCTGGGCATGGTGGCACACACCTGTAGTCCCAGCTACTCAGGAGGCTTGAGACAGGAGAATCCTTGAACTTCGGAGACGGAGGTTGCAGTGAGCCAAGATTGTGCCACTTCACCTTAGCCTGGGCAACAGAGTGAGACTCTGTCTCAGAAAAACAAACAAACAAACAAAAAACTGGGTCTCACTATGTTGCCCAGGCTGGTCTTGAACTCCTGGGCTCAAGTGATCCTCCTGTCTCAGCCTCCCAAAGTGCTGGGATTACAGTGGGCCACCATGCCCAGCCACCATCTTGGTTTAATTTCTTTCCTTGGAAATAGAGCAAAGGGCTTTCACTCTTCTTTTTCATGGCTGCATAGTATTCCATAATTGTTTAAACAACTGCTAATAGACACTGTATTGGGGTGACTTGCATACCTCCAAAATTGCATCTGCTGAGAACCTCCGGACATGGCCTTGTTTGGAAATGGTTTTAGCAGATGCAGCTAAGATGAGGTCACCCCGTGTTAGGATGGCCCCGAATCCAGTGCCTGACGCCCTTATAAGGAGAAGGAAACTTGGATGCAGACAGGAAGGCCGGGTGAAGACAGAAGCAGAGACTGGGGGCCAAGGAGTGCCTGGGGTTGCCCAGAGCCACCACGGGCTGTGAGAGGTGTGGGACAGACTCCCTCAGCCACAGAAGGGCCCAGGCCCGCACACGCCTGGATTTCAGAGGGTGGATATTTCTGTGGCCGAAGCTCCCAGTGCGTTTGCAGCCCTTGGAAATGGCCACAGACACATTTGTTCTCGGCCTGTCTCCAGGTCTGTGGCCCCCACAGTGAGCGGCCGCAGGCTGGAGGGGAACAGGAAGAGCTGGAGGGGACTTCACACACGTGAGCCTTTTAGGAATAATGAGTGACACATGCAAGACCCCAAACCAAACCCCATGTAACCTGACACCCAGGGAGGGAGGGGCTCACCTGTAGAGAGGTGCTGGGAAGCTGGCCTCGAGGGTCCCCGAGGGGACATAGGGCCGGGCAGCCTCTCGCCTCAGGGTTTGCATGTCTGCCTGGGTCCCTGGCGCTCCTGCCAGGAAGGCCTCCGAGGCCACTGTTGACAGCATAAAGGCCACCCAGTGTTCCGGCAACAGCGCTGACGGCTCCCTCCTCCCAGCAGTGGGCGGGGTGAGGTGGCCTCAAGCGAGGGGAGGGCTGGAGAGTCGTTCTGAGTATTTAACAACGGGGGGTGACACAGTGTGGGTGGGCAGGGCCAGGGCCACTGCCAGGTGGGGTCCGTGGCTGTGAGCCCCCAGCTCTACGCACGCCCCACCTGGGGCCTGGCCTCTCCATCTCCACACCCCCTTGAGGGGCTTCTGTCTCCCCCTTGCACCTTCGATCGCAGGAGGCGGTGCCCAGTCAGGGGCGCAGGCACCTGGCACCCCAGCTCCTCTCTCCTCACCCGCTCACACCCAGTCCGTTTGTAAAACACACCCAGGATGAGACCCGCACACGGGGCCTCACAGCAGCACAATTTGTGACAACCTGAGGCGGAGAACACCGAACACCCAGTGAGGGGAGGGACCAGCCATGTGCTGGAATGAGATTCAGCCACCAGGAGGTGCGAAGCTCTGACCCAGGCCACAGTGTGGATGCACCTTGAGGATGTCACGCTCCTCTGAGCCAGACACAGAAGGGCATGCTGTGATCCCACTTCTGTGAAATGTCCAGGACAGGCTGATCCAGAGAGGCAGGGAGAGGGTTCGTGGGTGCTGGAACTGGGGAGGCGGACCTGGGGGTGACTAGGTGATGTAACGGGGACAGGACTGCCTTCTGGGTGATGAGAATGTTCTGGAATCGGAGGTGGTGGCTGCACGGCGTGGTGAAGGTACTGAATGCCACCTCACTGTAAGATGGTAGATTTTGTATTTTACCACAATAAAAAAAAAAAACAAAAACAAAAACATAAAACCCAACAAACATCCAGGAACCTCCTGCCTTGCCTCCTCTGGCTGGGCCTGGCCTCGGGTAGAATCTGGCTTGGGTGGGGGCAGAGCTTACACCCTGGTCTCGGCTTCCCCTGCCCCTGCGTCGGGTCCCCACAGAGCCGACCCTGCCTTTCCCATCTGGACAGGCACCCAGGGGCCCCACTCCCTCGGGGTAAGTGCCAAAGTCCTCCCTGAGGCCCACAAGGCCCTGCCCTCCTCTCCTCACTCTGTTCCTCCCGCATGCCAGGTGCCGTGCTGTCCCAGGGCCTTTGCATGGCTGTGCCCTCTGCCTCTCACCCAGGTGTCCCTGCCTCCTCTAGCCCTGGCTGAAATGCCAGGCTTGCGGTGAGCCCCTGATCCAAGGCTGCCCTTTCCCAGGGCCCCTTCCGCACCCTCTGACGCCGCCGCCTCACTTCCTCATAAGCTCCTGTCTCTGGGCTGTGCCCCCCAGGCCAGCTCCACATGGGCCAGGTCTGCTCAGTTTCATCATCTCCAATGCCCAGGACGGGACCTGCCCTGGCTCCTTCACCGTCTTCTCAGGCACCGTACAAGAGCGAGCCTCAAAACCACCTGGGGCCTCCTGGCTGCCAGGCACCCCCCACAGCCTCCCTTGCAGCCCCTGGCCCCCAGGCCTCCTGGCTCCCCCAACCACTTCCCAGCCATTCCTCCTGTTCTCCCAGACCCCGGGGAGGCACCAGCACCCCCTGGGCCAGGCTCCTGCCTCCTGCACCTCTCATTGCAGAACCTGCGGCAGCCTGAGCTTTTCAATTCTCTTTCCCTCTCACTGCACCAGCTACGTTCCAGGATCAACAAAAAAGTCACAAACTGCCCTGCAGGGCCCTTCGTCAGCCTCCCGCTCCATCCGGGCATCTCCCAGCCATGGCCAGGGTCGCCCCAGGAAGTGATGGCCCCACTGGCCTTGGTCTGTCGGGTGGAGCTGACAGCAGAGGCACCTGCCCCAGCGCTGCTGAGCGGCCCCCGTGCCCCGCAAGGCCTGATGGATGCTCCCCTGGGGCCCCTCCACCCCTTCTCAGCTGTCCTGGGCTGTGGGGAACCAAAGCCCCCATTTCTACACAAGCCCTGGCCCGTCATCATGGGCCCCTCCCACCACGGCCTTCACCCCACTTGCTCTGTCCCTCCTGGTCCCATCTGGCCAGCCCTGGGGGTGAGCTCAGCCCTGCAGCGCCCACCCTCCCTCCTTGATGGGGTCGGGCGAGCACCTCCTCCCGGGAACAGGGCCGTCCGGCTGGAGCGCAGGGACTCGCCTGGAGTCCAGTCCTTGGCCCCGCAAGACTGTGGCCGGCAACCCGGCAGACTGGCCCGGGAGGGGTCTCTGCGGCCTTCGAGGGCTGAGTTCCCCATCTGTGAAATGCAGGGCTGGGAAGCCCCTCAGAAGTTGCTTCTGCAGCTCCGGGGCCAGATGGGGACTCAAGGGCAGGACCGTGTGACCCCACCCGAGCCGGGGACCTAGAGCCAGCCAGCCCCGGCCACACATGAATCCACGCGTTTAATGACAGCGTCACTGCATTACATGAGAAAGAAGGCTGATCTGTCCTGGGAGGTCCCCCGCCCCCCAGCATGGGCAGAACCAGCCCCAACACAAATCTCACCCCTTCCCTCCGGCCCTGCGGCGGTTCCGGTCCCAGGAGGAGCCTCGGAGGCCCCCGTGGGCTGTGCCCTGAGCCGGCCACGCCCCGAGGCCCACAGCGACAAGGCGGCTCTTTGGCACTGCAGGGGCTGCTGTGGGCAGGGCGGGCATGGGCGAAGGCAGGGTTGGTTTTCCTATTTAAAAACCCCGAAACAGTAAGACCTTGACCATGGAAAATCCACATTGCCACGTGCACCGGCTCCCCCCGCACGGGCGGGCGGCGAGGAGTCCACACCCGCTGGACAGAGGTGGGGAGAGTCTCTCCAGCAAATGAGGAAGATCCACCCACTTGAAACGACGGGGCTTTAAAACCAGGACCCCGTCTCCCAGGAGCAGTGGGTGGGTCCCGGCCCCTCCCCGTCTAGCCTCAAACATTTCCAGGACTGCTCAACAAAAACACAAAACAAATCCAAAGAAAAGTCACAAATACATATGTACACATGCACACCAACCCCACTGGGGACACCAGGCTATTGGGATGTGGGGAGTGGAGGTTCCCAAGCACAGCAGGGTGGCGGGTGGGACCCTCGGACTCCAGCCCGCCCCACCCTCTCCACGTCTCCACCAGTGAAATGGGAAGGGGTGGGGGGGCAGGCAGTGCTCAGCTCAGGCCCCACTCCCCAGCCTTGCCTCCCTCCCCGCCTGCTGTGTGGCTTGGGAGCATGAGACAGAGGAACAGAGGAGCCCGGGAAGCTTCTGGAAGGACGGAGGGCGCCCACCTCCTGGACCCCTTGGGTCTCCTTGGCTTCCCCACGGCTGCTGGCGCTGGTGGACAGGACAGGCGAAGACATGGGCAGCCTGGGAGCGGGGGCCACACCGCCGCTGGCCTCCACAGGACCCAGCCACCCAGCAGGCACGGGGGACGCAAGTCTTGCGCGGGGAAGGGGGACGCTGGCCCGGTGAGGGCACGTGTTGAAGAATGCACGAAGACGTGGCATCTGTTGTGCTCCTCTCCAGCCAGGGCAGTGAGCAGGCCCGTGTTCAGTTCTCCTGGGGTGACGAGTCCAGAGCAGACGTCCTCCGGTGTGAGGGTGACGCTCAGCCAGGATGCACAGGCCCATCTGAAGCCCACTGCCTGCCAGGTGACGGCCGTGACACAAATGCTTCCAGAGAGACTGCTACTTCGAGCGGTGACAGCAGAGGTGGCTGCAAGGACGCCGTGAAGCCCAGGCGGGGACTGTCTCCTGGATCCACAGGCCGGTTCCGCCAGTGGCCCTGAGCCATCTGCCCAGGCCTACACGTCTTGGTCTGGCCTTGGGTCTGGTCTTGGGTTTGACATAGTGGGACTGCAGCCGTGAACGGGCAACCGGGGGTCTGAGGCCCCCACCCATCAGCCCTGGTATCTGGTGGTCTGTTCCGTGCAGACGTGGGCAGTTCCAGGAAGAGCCAGCGGCGCCGGTGGGCAGGTGATGAACAGATGGAGGCAGTGAGGGTCCCAGGGGGCGTCCATCGCTCTGAGTACAGACGGTCTGAGCCGGGACCGTCCAATGTGGTTCTTGCCCTTTAGGAAGGGAGACAGAGCCCCTGATGCTGAGGGTCCCCGACCACGTGCCCACCCCAGATACTGGTGGACATGGTTCACAATCAGGCATTTAATGAGACTCCAGGATCCTCCAGGCCCAGCTCCCCGCCCGCCCGGCCGCCTTCCTCAGGGGACAAGCGCTGGGAAGGCAGGGTCCATGCAAGCTGAGGAGCTGGGGTCCTCCGACGATGGCTGGCGTGGTGCGGTCCTGCCCGGTAGGTTTACCGGATCCTGGTGAAGAGGTTGAGCACAGACACAGACTCCTGCAGACACATGGGGGTGGGAGACGCGCTGAGCCGCAACCCTAGGGAGGAAGCTGCCTGGAGGGAACCGGAGGCTGTGGGGCTTGGTCCTGAGGCTGGGAGGTGCCGGTCCAGCCTCGGCCTGCCACACTGCCCCTGACACATGACCCGGAATTTGACGTAAGGAAAGCTCCGAGGTGGGGGAACCCAGGGGAGGGTACGCCAGAGGACACAGTGGGGATAGGGACGACCTTGGGACAGGCTGGGGCGGGGGCGAGTGGCGCTGATACCGACCCACTTTACCTTTGTCGAACGGGTTTTGCTAAAGACGTTCCAGAACCTCAGGGTCTCGTCTCCAGCACCAGTGACGATGGCCTCCCCATCAGGGGACATTGCCTGTGGACGGGAGGGAAGCACCCCATGTCACCGGGCCTCTAGGTGCCTCAGGACAGTGCTGGGGGACCGAAGGAAAGGGGAGCAAGGTGTGGGGTGGCTGGGACCCCCAAACCAGGTTGCATGGGCAGAGCCCAGACTCTGGGACCAGGAGGGAGGAGCAAGCCGAGGCCACCACAGGCAGAAACCAAGGTTGGAGTCTTTTTGTTTTTTTTTTAATTTTAAGACAGGGTCTGGCTCTGTCACCCATGCTGGAGTGTGCAGTGGGGCGATCCTGGCTCACTGCAGCCTTGATCTCCTGGGCTCGGTGATCCTCCCATCTCAGCCTCCTGAGTAGCTGGGACTACAGGTGCACACCACCACACCTGGCTCACTTAAAAAAAGGTTTTGTAGAGACGGGGTCTTGCTACGTTGCCCAGGCTGGTCTTGAACTCCTGGGCTCAAGCGATCCTCCCACCCTGGCTTCCTGAAGTGGAGGGATTATAGGCGTGAGCCATCGCACCTGGCCAAGGTTGGAGCATTTTTGCAAAAACACAAAGGACACCCCTTTGCAAGGTGGGGCCGTCCACTCTGAGTAGATGAGGGACTGTCAGATGCGTGGATGAAAGCACAAAACATGTTTTTCAGGGAAGAAATAAAACCTTGGCCAGTGAGGGCACGTAGGGTCAAGGACGCCTCCTGGCCCCCTTCCAGCGACGTGCACACAGTTACTGCGAGGACGGCCACGGGGTCATCTGAGTGGTCAGGTGTGAGGTAATTTTGGCCTTCCTCTTCACCCCTCTTTTTGGGGAAAATAAACAAATGAAGAGGCTGAGGTCCTCCAGGAGGACAGGGCCCACACCTGCAGGGCTGGGGAGTTCGGTAAAGCCCATTCCAACACTGGCAATACAACCAGCACCAGATGCCCCGACAGCCAGCCCCGGTGCTGGGTCCCACGGGGTTTTACATCTGCACACCACCCTCCCTAAGAACACAGGACAGGTGCTCTGGGGCAGCCACGGCAGTTTGTCCAGAATCCCAGGGCACCTTGAAGTGCCTGGCGTGCACTCACCAGGTATAGCACGCGGTAGGAGTGCCCGGTCAGCTTGGCCACCTGGGTCAGGGAGGGGTACTTCCAGACAAGGATCTGGTTCTGTGAGTAGCCGTGCGTGCTCACCTGGAGGGTGGAGGGGGCGCCGCGGTCGATGGGGGGAACGAGGCCGGGCGCTATGCCTGCTGCCTCCTATGTACCCGCCCGAGCCCGTTAGAGAGCTCGGAGCCGCCAGCCAGCCCGGGAGGAGCAGGGGATACGGGGATGTGGCTCTGCCTCCTGAGTCTGTCTGGGAGGTGTGAAGGCCACAGGTGTACCCCTCCACCCACCGCCAAAGGCTGGAGCCCAACAAGGACCCACACAGGCCCACAGCCCCTCTGCCCCGCCTGCAAGTCATCCCTGACACTCTCCTGGTGACGCATGCCCGGAGTGGCTGAAGCAGGCCAGGGTGCTCCGCAGAGCCCACTTGGTCCTGGGCCTCCCCTCTCAGCAGAAGCAGCTGTGGGAGCTCCCCGCTCCTCACAGAGCCGCCAGGTGTGGCTGCGACGAGGGCCCAGAGGCTCCAAGTCTTGCCCCAGGTGAGGCCCTGATGGGGCCCAGGGGCCTTGCCTTCCCCCTCCACCCCCGACAACTCCCTGCCTCCCTGCCCAGCCTCCCTCCCTCCATCTCCCTTCAGCGCCTCTGACCCATCTCCCCACAGGCCGCTCTCAGACGGCAGGCAAGGGGCCAGCAGGACACACATCCTGAGGCCTGGTGGGAGGCCGGGTCACCCGTGCTCACCAGCTCGTTGGCGTGCTTGGACCAGGCCAGATTGCACACTTGGGAGCCCGTGTCGATACACTGCAGCGGCTGTCCCGTCAGCGTGTTCCAGAAGCGGATGCAGCGGTCGGCTGTGCCGCCCCCCGAGGCCAGCAGCCCGTGCTGATGCGGGGACCAGGCGATGGCCTTCACGGCCGCCAGGTGCTCCGTGTACTGCTGCACGGGGCTCAGGCTCGAGTGATTCCAGACCAGCAGCTGGGGGACAGGGGCTGTGAGGCCGGGGCTGTCCCAGCCCTGTGGTCCCATAGGCCGGTCCTCACAGGGGTGATAACCTGCCCTGGCACCCCACCCCACACCCCTCCTGCTGCTCCCTCAAGGACCCCTGGGGGCACACGCTCGTCACCCTGTGCCACAGGGCAGGACTGGCTAAGCAGGAAGGACAAGCCCAGGGCCCTGCTGATGGCTGTGGAGTGGGTCCCACGCCCACCCCCAGCCCAGGCTTCACCATTCCTGCCAGCGTGAGGGGTGCGGCTCCTGGGGAAGGGGAAGTCCAGGCTCGGGGCAGGGGTACCTTGTTGTCGTTGCCCCCTGAGGCGAGGAGCTGGTGGTCTGTGGACCACTTGAGCCCGCACACCTCCTGCCGGTGGCCCTGCAGCCGCCGCTCTGACTGCAGGGGTGGG